CCGACGAGACGCCGACGACACTTTCTTCAGGTTGAGCCGGTGGTCGTGCATCCACCGCTGGTGACCAATCGCCCCTCGACACACTTGAAAAGTACACCGCCCTATCCTGCGAGTGGATCTTCGCATAAATGAATCAGTCCACTTCTCGGCAATGACAAAGGATAAAAAGCATCAGGAACACACAACTGAGATATTTACCTGAGGAGGTAGATTTTTGTAGTTAAAGGGCTTCGTATACCCTGACATGTTGAATGAGGCAAACGGTGCGAATAGTTCTACAGCCCGCTCTTCAACAACATCCCTCGATAGCATCTCTAGCCTCTCCCAGGTACCATCGGTCTCCCCTTGAACTCGAAGGCTCGGTGCGCCCTCTCCTTACAGGGCTGAACGCGGCGTACTATAAAGCTTGCCGCTACCAATCCGCCATTGGTCCTCACGCCCTTTATTAAGGGAAGGAGCTCCCTCACTTGCCCCATATCAACGCTGCTCGGCGTCTCCGACCAGCTCCTCTGGCTCTCCGGAATGTGGTCGGCGTCGCAGCGGACGGCTGGGTGGCTCTGTTTCATGTAGAACCACCTAACGTTCCACCCCTTCACTGATGTGTTCAATGGCATAGTAAGGTACTCGCCTACCATCTCATCACATAGCTGAAGGTACACCCCTGCTGACCACCTTGGAACCACTGTCGCCTCTCTTCTTCAGCCAGAACAGGTGACGGAAGAGGTTGAAGTGGGGGAGGATTCCAAGATATGCCTCACAGAAATGGATGAAGATCGAGATGTGCAAAATGGTATTGGGATGGAGGTTGCACAGACTAACCACATAGAGCTCCAACAGATCCCTCAGGAATGGATGAACAGGAAATCCCAACCCGTGCCAGAAATAATCCTCGAATACCACCACTTTATCGGTATGAGGCATTGGGAAGGACTCACCAAGGGCCGGCCGCCATCCGGTGGTAGCACGGTCAGGAAGAACGCCTGCTTCCACCAATCTGTTGAGTTCCACCTCTCCCGTTCGTGACGGCACCCACTCTTCGTCACGCTGGGCTCCGGCGCCCGCCTTCTTGGGGCTCATCTTCTTCGGTTTTGCAGCTCCCTTCTTCGGCGCCATCTCCTAGATCTGATTAGGGTTTGGCGGCAGAAGCAAATGTGGATACGAATTTGGAAACGCGAGTGCTGAGGAGGAAGATGAAATGGCAAAGTGGCAAAGGTGGAAACGTGGGATGCGGCGGTGCAGTTATAAAGCACTTTCCCCACCCTATCGTATTCAAGGGTTTTTGGGAAACCATTCCCGCGATTTACGAGTCTATGAATTCTCCGCAACAGCAAGGTGGGCCGTAACCTAGGCTTTCACGCAACCGCAGCCCATGTCGCTCATTTATCGCCGCCGTTGGTTGTCACTCGCCGAATAATCGCCGACTTCTCCGCCATTTATTGAGGCTCAGTAACCGTTACTGTATAGCCATTACTCCGGTTTTTTCTCCAGGATTGGATTTCTCCGATATCTTGGCTTGCGGCTCGGGGATTGGTTGCCTGCTCGACTGGTCTTTTACTATTTTTTTATTTTCGAGCACGGCACCACGTAACTCGTCACCCTCTTTGTCGGGGCTCGGGGACTAAGTGGGCACACTTCACCTTGCGGTGAATGTGCTCTCTCTCTCATTTGAGGCTACGCCCGGGACCTGCTCACCTTTCGGTACCGGTCTTTTACTATTCTTCTACTTTGGACCCTGGCACCACATGACTATATCATCTCTTTCGTTAGGGCTCGGATTTAAGTGGGCACACTTCACCTAGCGGTGAATGTGCTTGTTTTATTCTGAAAGACTCCGCGCCTCTTGAAGCTGAAGAAAGTTATCTCCTTTTCTCGTGGTCGGACTATAAGTGGGCATATTTTGTCCACCGCGAAGAAATTTTTGATTCTGAACTTGAGCTCGTTACACCCTTATGGCAAGCCGTATTTGGTTCAAACTGCTCGACGATAGTTCACGCTGCTCGGCAACTGCTCGCAACTGCTTGGCAACTCATCACGGTGGTCAGACCATGAGTTTGACTGCTCGGCCGTGTTCGCACCTGCTCGGACAAGCTCAAGACGGCGTTGCACAACGGGTACAAGGCGCTCGGGGACTAGCTATGGGGGGTACGACCCCGAATACCCATGGCATACCACATGGGTTGCGCCCTCAGGGGTGGCCCAGCCCACAAGACGAAGCCCTACGGCGCATGACTCTGCTTGGCGTCTCCCGTAAGACATCTGGAAGATATCCTAAAGATACTACGAGATCTGTTAGGATATGTATGATCCCAAGATTCCTGTAATCAGTTATTACTTTCCGGTTATCTCTCAGATCTAACCGACTTGTAACCCTGCTCCCCGGACTATATAAGGCAGGCAGGGACCCCCTCCAAACTCACGCAATATCATACGATAGTCAATACAAACCGACAGACCACAGGAGTAGGGTATTACGTCATACTGACGGCCTAAACCTGTCTAACTCATGTGCCTCTATTGCCCTCTTGTTCTTGATCACGCGCTCCTCTGCCGATCAATCTACCTTCGTGGGATACCTCTCGGAGGACTACCGACAATATTCTGTCGACACCCAGCGAACTTTCGCTCATCATTAATGCCTATACGAAGCGCATCATCTTGAACTGGCTTGATTAAGAGACGTTTCATGAGCCCATTGGTACGATGTACTAAATGATCCAGGATGACCTGCATGTCATGCTGTTCTTGTAAGGTTACCTCAAGGTCCAAGTTTTGGACATTGACAAACTCCTTGATCCAGTTGCATGATGGTAGTATGCATATATGCCCGTGCAGCTTAAAGCAATAACTGAGGGTCTTTGGCGGCCGAGCAATTGTGTCATCCAGAGAAGGAAACAGACCATCTATGTTCTTATGGAGTCACACTGACAAGGACTCTAGATGGTTGAGACATGAGATGGCAGAAAAAGAACTCATGGATGTTGTCCAGGTTGGATATTGAGAAATGTAGTTAACACTAGAGTTTTTACAGTGACTTGCTGTTTAATCACTTAAAACAATCTAGAAATACTTAAGAGAAAAAGTTTGCCTGACCAAATGGAACTATAGCACATCTGGGCGACACAGTACAGAGCTCGGCTCCTGTAGGACGGTGGGGCGATGCAGGGCTCGACTCTATGCGTCTATTGCATTGCTAACCGAAGATGCATCGGTGCATACAACGAACCGTACGGGCATGTGTAGGCATGCAAGCACGGACGCAACATACCTCACCTGTAAGCACGTCATGACCTGTAAGCACGTGGAAATATAGCTAAATCTAGAATTTATGACCGTGGCTAAGTTTGATTTTTTACCGTGGCTAAGTCCAAACTTAACGAAACTTGTTTTGTTGTCATCTCCTTAGAGAGTATTTGAACTCGTAGGACGGTATCAAATTGAGTTGCTATAAAAATTTAGAAGATAAAATATCGTAAACATGTCAATTTACAACTGGCGATAAGGGAATTAGAAAGATTTAGAGGGGCCAAAACAGCGTCACAATTCGGCCATGTTAAAGACTGATTTAGGTTTAGGTCCAAAAGCAAAGTTTATTGTATTCAATTCAAACTATAAATTCTATTAAATGTCAAACTTCATGTCTAGAAAAGAAACTATAGTTTTACCTGGTCAAAACAACATCATGAAAAAAGGAGTTAACTATTGATCCAATACTCAGAAGCATTTTTAGGTTAGTTCATGAACATAAACCCTTGATTATTTTTTATCTTAAGTATTTATATACTGTTTTAAATGATTAAACAATAAGTCACCGTAAAAAATCTAGAGTTAGCCATATTTCTCACTGTCCAAGTCATGATAAAAATTAAAATTTATCAATTTTCATAGCTCGGCACCATAGTAATTAGCGTCGAGCTCGGCACCAAGATCCATGGCGCCGAGCTTATGCCACGTCCGCGCCATGTAAGCAGCCACGTCAACTACACGAAGAAAATGACCTTCGACTTCGATGCCGAAACATATAAACTCGACGCCAATGGACTCGGCGCCAAGATCATGATATATTTTTTAAAAGTATACTGTTTGGTCGTATTTGTGAAAATTTTTTAAAAAATATGGCTGAAAAACAAAAAAAATTCGGGGAAATCGAGAAGCGCCCGGTAGGGTGTGGGTAGTCTCGAGGACAGTTCCGGCACACCTTGCGCCGCAGAGTTGGTTGGAGCTTGGGCCGCTTTGGTTGGGTAGTTTCCGTTGTTATTTGATAATTAGTGCAATCATAATCTAATTAAACTTAAAAGCGCCCGTGGATTTCGCCTAAAGCTGTAATTAGTTTTATTTTTTATTTATATTTAATATTTTGGTTGTTGAGCGGAGAATCTTAAAAAATTTAGTATTTTGGGAGTAAACTGAACAGGGCCTCGGAGGCTTCTCTGCCTGTGTAGCTTTCGTTGTCGCCGATAACGACGTGCCCGCGGCCGTCGTGATCAACCGCGGGCGGGTACGTGGCGGCCAGGAGCAGGCCCTGCTGGGCCCCTATGTGAGTAATTGTCAAGCCGTAGCATCAGCATTTGTCTTTTTCTTCTTCTTTTGTGCACCGTTATCTTTTTTCAGGATCTCGTGTTGTGAACTTTGGGAGCCTGACAAAAGTAGAAAAAAGGCAGTACAAATGTAGTAGGAGTACACGCACGTCACAAGCGCTCAGCGCGGGGGCAGTCGCTGTGACCACCTGGCACTTATGACCTCGTTCGGCCAGTAGAATCTTGATTAAAATTATATATATATATATATATATAAATATATATATATATATATATATATATATATATATATATAAATATATATATATACTGGTTTCTTATATATATATATATATATATATATATATATATATATATATATATATATATATATATATATATATATATATATATATATATATATGAATCTTCAGAATTCCACTGCTGATGAATAGTGCCCTCCCGTTTCTACACTCAGATCACTGCTCATCCACAGTCTTCCTCGCCTGACCGTCCGATCAGCCGTCCAGCCGCGTGATGCCTGCCACCGTCGAGCGCGCGCCCCAATAGCCCTATCCACGCGTCCGCATCGCCCACCAGCCCCCAACGAAAGAAAAGAAACCTGCCTCGAGCCTCCGCCGCTGCCTCCCCGCTCCTGCCGCCTCCGCCCACTGTGCGACGCTGCCCCGCCTGCGCCCTCCGCTTGCCGACCGGCGCGGCCAGGCCTCGCAGGGCGCCGCTGCGCCCTGCCTCGGTGCTGCCGCCGGGCCGCTCCCTTCCTTCCTCTTTGTTCTGCCATGACTGCGGTCTCCGCCTCCCTTCTTCGTTGCAGCGAGCAAGGTCGCCTCTCCTTCTTCTTCTCCCGCTCCCCTCCCTCAACTCCCTCTCCTTACTGCGGGGATCTGCCCTCCTCTCTCCTCTTCGTTGCAGCGAGCAAGGTCACCTTGACGGCTGCTGCGTGCCCTGTGCCCAGGTGGGGAAAAAACTACTCCTCTTTTGATTGTTTGCGCAGGTCTGTATGCCTATCGCCTTCAACGTTGTCTCACGCTGCGCCCCCCAAAAATCCAGGTATTCTTGGTGGACAACAGCCAATCTTGGCCTAGACGTGTTTCAGTGTTCTCCGATCCCACTAGCTTAGTTGCGCAAATTTTACGTCCCAAGTTATTCTAAACTAAATCCTGACCTACACTGCTAACGTAGGTTGTGCCATGGCGCATAAGAACTAAATAAATATCATATGCCTTCTCTGTCTCATGCGCAATGTAGTCATATTTGTTATGGAATCGTCCTGTTTTCCTAAACGTAAAATTACTTTAGTTTCGTATACTTCCTCTATGTCTTGGACTGCCTTCTTGTGTCCTGCTCGTTAGTCCTAATTCGGTGTCAACATGTTTGTCAGTGCTTTGTGTTTCTAAGTATTAGCAACCGCTAAACTCATTTATCTACTGCTTGCGGTTGATTCACATTCTTACTGTTCTGCCTCAGCTCTGGACCATTGCATTGGGGCCTTATAATGCAGCTCCGGACCCATACGGTGTCTCCACTCTGAAATTATCATGGGACATTACAGCAAAGGTTTGTTCCTTCTCGCTTCTCAGGGTTGGTGTTGTACTTTTGAATTTGACCATCTTTTTTTTTAGTGACCAAAATGATTGTGATTTATCAATGAATTGCTTTGCTACAGAATGTTTCTGACAAATTGGAAAATGACGAGACATTAGAGCCACAGACTAATTTGTTAGGGTTATAAAAACAATCTGCATTTCAGTTACCATGTGATTTTCCCATTAGCAAACATGATGACTCGAGCACTAATTTGTTTCTAACATGTCAAAACATAAATATTACCTGCTTTCCTGGATGAATGTACTGATGCAATTTTCAAATGCTCAATCTGAACATAAAATTCTCCATATGAACATGGCAAAAATATATTTCCTTTCCACCACTGAATTTTGGTCCATCTCTGCATCTTTGAATGCTGACGATTTGGAATAATGAAGATGCTGATCCACAATGAAGTTGATTGAAAATTTGTACTGCTGGCGTCTTACAATCAGTTTTCTGTTGTTGATTAAATCTGTGTTTCGTCCATGAAAGAGCCACGCTACATATGCCCTAATGCGTAATTTGGATTGGTATAAAATTTTTCTATTGCTACATTAATTATATTAATCTGTAACGACAAACATATTTTCCCTGCATAGTTGTTTACTCATATTTTTCCACATATATCAGACCTCTGTTTGCTGTTCGTCTAACTTTCTATTATGAGACCTGTGTTTCCCTCCTGTTTTTAGACATGCAAAGACCTTTCCTGCTGACATGTTCCTTTTAAGTTATCATCTCAGGACTACGATGTACTTAATGCAAACCATACTATTTTCTATACCTATAGTTTTCATATTGAACATCATTAGATGTACCTTAATTGTAGGCTTTGTAAATGTTATGACTGATCGAATGGCATAAAAAATCCATGTAATTGTGTTGGTCAGTGGGTTTTATCCTGAACCTTATCAACCAGGGGTGAACTCAATGCCTTACCATCCGGTTTTGCACCATCTGACAATGAACAGATTTATTCAGGGTTTAGATGTCTCCAAAACCCAAAAATTTTTCTCAATGCCTTACCATCCGGTACACCTACTGCACCATCAATGACAATGATTATTTAAGACCTTTCGATTTATTCAAACGAAAGAACTAAACACGCCCTTAGATTTTTTTACATGGCCCTGCCCAAGGTATGCACAATTGTTAGCCAAGCCCTATATTTCCCTCGATGTTTCTACACATGAAAAGACATTACCTGCCAATATGTTCCTTTAAGTTACTATTTTAGGGTTATGATGTGCTGAATATGCAAACCATAAATCTTGCTTGACTCAACGATGTTTTTATCCATCTCTTATCACTTCGTGGAAGACTAGGTTTCCTGCTGCATGTCAACACGCTGAGTCCATTATGCTGCTAAATCCATTGCTATATATTGCCGTACAGCTTTCCGTACCTAACCATGGTAGTATACGCCTTTAGAGTATTGTCCACAACGAATAAGATCATTGAGCAAATCGATTCTTCATACCCATATAGCCAGTTGCCTAAAATTGGCTATCTGCTCTTAATAATTAATTAATTTATTTGTTTGCTACATGCATTGTAGGCACTGTTCCACAAATGAGGACATACGCAACTAATGTACTCAGATTGGCCAGATCTTCTCACTACCCTCAATTTTCGTTACCATCAGTCACCCCTAATTTGTTATACTCTAATTCAGGTCTTACCGTGTCAGGTTCAGTCCAGTGTCTGCTATCCTCATAGTGTCTGATATCCTCATGTAACAATTCAGGTCTTTGGCCCATGGCGAAATGAGTCTCCAGATCCAACTGAACCATCCCTGTACTATGGTAACATTATCCTATGAAGGGCTCAAATAACATCCTATCTGTAACTAATTTTACTAATCTTTTTGTTTCATGTATAATCATATGATGTACTATAATTCTGGCTTGCTGGCCCGTGCGAAGCACGGGGGTACCTGCTAGTGAATTTATGAAACTGAGTTCGTGACTTCGTGTACCAGCCTGAAGAAGCCCACAAGATACATTTCAGTCACACACCCACGAGATACGTTCACCGCCTACCACCAGCTCATACCCAACACCTGCCCACTACCCTTTCGGCCCAATCGAACATGGGCCCATTCTTTTCCATCCGCATCCTCCTATTCTTTTCCTTGCTTCCCTGAACATGCATTTGTTCCCTATGAGAAATGAACCTTGTCCAGCTGCATTGGACGCGTGTGAAAGAAAGATGAATGATTCCAATATTTTTGCACCCCGCGCGAAAGCGCGGGCAAACATGCCATGCCCAACAGACTTATAGGTGCAGTGGCAAATGTGACATATATGTATCAGTCAACTACGATTCAAATATAATATTTAGTTTTGTGCCATGTATAAACAGATTAAAATAATGGCATATTTTATATAGGGACAATAGGACTATGAAAGTAAGAAGTTTTGGTGCTTCGATGGCAGTCGTTGATGGTGGGGAGATGCTGATCTTGCATATGCGCCAAACAAAAGCGCAGAAACCTACTCCTTCCACTTGAAGCAACTGAAACCTGTGTGCAGATCGAAAAGGAGGCTTAAGACTTGGTAGTAAAAGTAACAGAGATTAACAAACACAACATTGTACCGAGAAAAGTTTTTTTTGGTTGGGTGGGTAGGGGGCATATTACCTGATGACAAAGTGGTGCAATACTACAGATTATGGAGCAAACAGGAACATGATTATATAAACCGAATGCAAGGGATTAAACTTATTTGTAGAACTTTACCCACCTATGCAGACATTCCAATTTGTGAGACTGAGACACACAAATCGTTTCGTCCCATCAGTACAGGAAGAAAATAGGGAATTTAAAAACAGTATACGTATTTCTGAGGAGCGATTACTAATTGACTTTGGTTTTCAAGTCCGTAAATGAACTTATCCTGTTCAGGGGCTCAAATTTAGGAAGGAATGCTGTGAGACACTGAAATGAAGTTGGCCTAAATCTCAGCCCTGAATTTGGTATGTATAAAGTGCATATGAAATTGCACTCCGTCACTGCACGACAACGGCCAAAGAAATCAATCTCATGAAATAGCAGTTCACCAATGCACGCCAACAGGCAAAAGAAATTAATCTGGATCTGTTCATAGGCACCACCAACGTTGAGAACCAAATCCTAACCCTAGATGACCACAAAATGGTATGACACAAAATCGTAACCCTAAATGAGGCAGCATTTAAGGCCAAAGAACTGGAAAAAATTAAAGCAACAATCAAGCAATGGATACATCACGAATCGGTGTGGTTACCTGGTCATGAAGCCGTCGATTCGGATGCTGTGGAGGAAGACGCGTTCAGGAGAAGCGGAGCGGCGACGATGAAAAGGGGCGACGTAGGCGATGGTGGCGGCGCTGTAGAGGGGCGACGGCGGCCATGGGGGCGAGCGAGATGGCCGACCGGGCACCGTCGCAGCGGCGCTTCTGCGGGGCGGTGCGGCCGGCAGGGTGACGTCGCAGCCGGCGTAGGGTGCAGGCGCGGTGGAGGCTGTCGCTGCCGTCGCCGCTGCGCGTCGGGGTGCAGGCGTGATGGAGCCCCTCGGTGTCGTCACCACTCCGGATTGTGGGAGGTGATGAGTTACTGGGTCGTGGGGCCCGCGAGGGCTGAAGCGGTGGATAGGCTCGGCGGGCGGGTGCAGCGGGGAGGAGCGCGTGGCGGCCATCTGCTGCCGGCACAAAGGATCGGACGGCCAACACGCATTCACTGTGGATGGATACTGATTTGATGTATATGTAGAGCTCGGTTTCACGTGCGAAAACGGTGTGGACCTTCAATTCAATGATTTCTTCCAATTTCCCGTGCTCCAGCTGACTAGAGGGCTATTCTTTAAACGTTAACTAGAAACATTTTATTTAATATACCAAGAGAAAACATCCCAAAGAATTGAATCTCCTAGGAATGACATGTTAGTCAAGAGCACCTCGACAACTAAGTGTGGTGAAGTGTGAGAAGGATTTTTTTTAAAGGAAGGATTTTCTTAATTTACAATTGTTACATCAAGTTGATACAATCCCGACCTCTGTATAAAAGCAGAGTCTAAACGAAACAAAGAGAGATGAGTTAGGCTATCTCCAACAAAGCAACCCAAACCCAAAATGCAGCGTGCATAGTGTATTTAGGTAACAAAAACCTCTCCAACAGAAGACCCAAAGAGGCTACGCATTTTGCGCCCCTGCTGCACCGAAACGCAAAAAAGCGTCCTCGTTGAACGACGACGCAAACCTCTGGCGTGCCCGTAGTGGTGGGCCCCGCAGCGTGGAGCTACTGGGTGGCGAGGCGAGCGGCATGGAGCGGCCAACCCCTCCTCCTCCCTGGTCGACGCGCGGTGGCCTCCCCCTCCACCTCCCTGGTCGACAACATGTCCACTTCGGGTGAGGCGAGGAGGGTGGGGCATGGGGTGCTGGGCGGGCGTGGAGGCAGCAGCCAGCCACGAGGAGAGCCGAGCCTGCTTGCCGGGAGGAGCGCCATGAGCCTGTGCTCGCGGGAGATGCTTGGGCCACTGTGTGGATCTGGTCTGCCTGACCCTGCAGTCGCAGAAGCGGGCGTCTTGGCAAGGCCGCCGGCTCGAAGCCCACGCCGCCGACAGAGAAGAGGAAGAATGGGTCGCCTGTGGTTGTTGGAGAAGGGAGAAAATGGGTCAAGCCTTTTTTTACTGTTGGCGCCCCAAACTACTAAATGGGTGTTGGGTTTGAGTGCTCGCCGTTGGAGACGGTCTTAGGAATCAAAAGAGAAGGAGCAGGAAGAGATGGTGGACTCTGGTGAGTATCTGTCGTCATCGCGTTCAGAGGAACACAGGCACAGGAGACGGTGGGAAGAAATGGATGGGCCAGATGGAAGAGGCGCAACGGGCCAAGGAAGTGAAAACAGCCCATGGTGTATATGTTACGGTTTTCCATTACAGATTTTTAAACTTGGACCTGTGAGACCTATGTTCGAATGTGTTCAAAAAAAATTCTAGTAAACTCACCAAACACGACCTTAGGACATGCATATAGGGTATCTGTTTACCTTTTAAATGTTTGGGCAGGCCTATTTTCACAAAATATTAAGTATGATGCTATGAATAAAATAATATACCCTGATTATTTAATACAAATTTGTCCCAAAATATTCAGTTTTTTTATAGATATTATAAGGGTTTAAAAATATAACCCCTAGGCTTGCACTAGTGGTAACTATTTTTTCTTAGAACTACTACTGTTTTGAGATGTTCCCCAGTAGAATAGGGCCCTACAAGTTCTAGTCTTAGTTCCATGGTCTGTTTAAAGAAAATGGTCTGTTTTATAAACATCTGTTCCCTATGCATGGTTTGTTTTGGTAGGATAAATTCCATGGCATCACAGAGGTCATAGTCGTCTATTTTGACGAGTGGTACTAGTACACCTCCATCTAGTGAACCCTGTTGTGAAACGACACCTGTACGCGAACGGACGTCTACAGACGAACAGACGTCTCTTCACGAGTGATCTCATCCATCAAGCACAGGATTAGTGGATAGGATTAAACAGTTAATTTTAGTTTCAAAGGGCATGTCTTTTGAGAACAGTCGTGTCCCTTCGTGACACCCATCCACTTGTATAAATATATTTTCGAGATCAATGAAAGCAAAAGTTCTCCCAAATCTTGTTCATTTACATTCACGCTTTAACACGTTATCACGCACGCTATTCTCCCCCGAGAGAAAAAAAGGCCGACAACCAAGAAGCCTGAAGCCGATGTTCTTGATGCCGTGAAGTCCGGATCACATCGCTGTAGATTCGCCAAGATCGAAGACACGGCCATGGCCATGGCTTACTGTCTCGTGATCTTCCACGAAATCATCTTCCGCCATCATATTGCAGCAGGGAAGACGAAGAACAACATCGGCCTACACTAGTGGAGATCAACGGTGACGCAAGTCATATGTCAAGGCAAATTTGCTTGCCTCTACATTAAATTCATGATCTCCGCATACATGAACAGAAGGTACGAAACCAACCTGTTAATTGTGTTCGTCATGTTTTCTTCACTTCTCGCCATCGTGGTTGTGGCCGTGGATGCTGTGACATTCGCGCCTGGATCGGTAGGCGGCTGCCTTGTGTGGCCCGACTCTGGCCGATTGCAAGCCTCACGGTTGAAAGGTCCTAATATGGCTAGAGGGGGGGGGTGAATAGCCTATTTAAAAATCTACAAATCAATTAGAGCAATTTGATTAGTATGACAAATAGCGTAATGCAAACTTGCTCTAGCTCAACAAGAGTTGCAAGCCACCTATCCAATAATTCTAGTTACAAAGATTACTTAGGCACGCAAACTTGCTATGTAACTACTCACTAAGAGCTCTCAATCTTGCTACTCTAAAGAGCTCAACTAGATGAATGTAAATAATAAAGCAAACTCTCAATTCTAATTACACTAAAGAGCTTGTATCAACTAGTTTGCATAAATGTATATAAGTGAGTAGGGTGATTATACCACCGTGTAGGGGATGAACCAATCACAAGATGAATATATAGCCAATCACCTGGAGAATGCCAAAGACAATAGACAATCGATTTTCTCCCGAGGTTCACGTGCTTGCCAACACGTTACGTCCCCGTTGTGTCGACCAACACTTGGTGGTTCGGCGGCTAAGAGGTGTTTCACAAACCTCGTCCACACGATAGGACACCGCAAGAACCGACCCACAAGTGAGGTAACTCAATGACATGAGCAATTTACTAGAGTTATCTTTCGGCACTCCATCGGGAAAGGTACAACTCCCCTTACAATCACCGGAGATGGCCACGAACAATCACCA